CAGCTCACTCCAGGGACTTCGCAGGTGACCTCGTCAGGTCCGTTATTGATCATGGGCACGGATCTTACCGGAGAGGATTGGGAAGCATACTTCCCAGCGTCATCGACCGCTGCTGAGGATCGGCCGACCCGAAATTTGGATAGTGGGCGTCGGCTGAGTTATGGCTCATCATCACAGGCGCAAGTATGTTTTTATTAGTATTAAATATAAATTTGTTTTTTCTTTTCTCATTTATTTTCCATAACTTTATTAATTTTCTTATTAAGGCTTCATCCCCGCCCGTCACGGAGGCCCATTTGTGCGATGCTGACATGGCTGCGACGGAAGATTATATTCAGGAGCCCGACGAGACCATGGTAAGACAATTTAAATTATTGTGACTTAATATATACTTTCCTATACTGAGCTGACTTATTCTTCTGTAGGTTTCTACTGGACCGACGGCCCCTTCTACCGATCCTGCCAGCACCACTGATGATCATGTTGCAGCGCATCCTGCTATAAAGAGGCACCGTGATGAGGATGATCCTGATAGCGTAGCCGGGCGGGATGGGATGCGCCTCAGGCCAGCGGCTGCATTGAAGCACACATGTTGTGGGACACATTGATTTTTTTTTTTGTATTTTATGTAAATATTATTTTATGTAAATAATAACAATAATTTTTTATGTTTATATAATATGCGCATTATGTTTTTATTTTCCCGTTCCTTCTTTATTTTAATACTACAACACAAACATAAAATATAACAACTTAACATAATTTAAATTTAGTACAACTAATGAAAATACATGACACGGGAAACATAAAGATAAAGTAGTACACTCAACACATATATGTCATTGTTTAGTCACTGCCGCCCACTATTCTCTGCTCCAACCACTTAAATTTCTCTTCCATCTTATTTTTTTCTAATTCTGCCTCTTTCAGTTTCTCCTTCAACTCCGCAATTTCTCGTTTATATTCTTTTTCATATTCACACTGTTTTAAGGTCAAATCATGAAGATACTGCAAAGATCGTTTGTAGCATTCCTGCTTACAGGGTTCATCAATCCATACCTCAAAATTGCAAAAAGGTTTGTCGGGAACCCTATAAAACTTGTTCACACATCCAGTAGCGGCGTCCAACTTCACCATCATCCCAACAGTCATTCATCAAACATTGTTTGCCGCACTGGCACCTTGGTACATAAAGGCGTTCAGACATTTGTTAAAGCGTAAAAAAAACCTTGCTTTTATGGAAAGTTTTGCTATTGGTTATTGTTAAACGCAGAAAATAACTAGAATGCGCCCGTTATTTATAGGCAAGACAACACACATAACGTAGTATTTAACCGCGCTATATATATTCACATAACGTAGCATTTAACCGCACTATGCTTTGCGTGTTAAAGATGATTACGGATACAAAACAGTTTTTTCTCAGACGGGCAGCTTTTCAGTTCGACAAGACAATACACATAACGTAGCATTTAACCGCGCTATATATATTCACATAACGTAGTATTTAACTGCGCTATATATATTCACATAACGTAGTATTTAACCGCGCTATATGTATTCACATATTTATCAAAAATCTACCTTTAACTCAACTATTTTTGAACTATATTTATCAACTATATTTATCAAATATATTCACATATTTTTCCCTTTTTTAATCCAATACTATTTTTGATTATATGAACGGGAGGGAGAAATGCATTAATTTACTCAACTGAAAAATGTTAAATATCAATAAGATTTAATAACAATGGAAACATAATTTTATTTGATACATCTTGCAACATAAACAAAACAGCTACTTATTACAACATAAACTCATTGATAGTTGGCCACATTAGAAGAACACCCACCACGAGCTTGATTACCACCGCCACCCAAACTAGCCGAAGGACATTTTCGACGGTCGTGTCCTTTTTGCGAGCATATACCACATTTGCGCACATAAACGGTATCGCTAACATCCATTTGGTTCTGTATACTCGTTCTCTTCTGCACCTGTATTCGACGCAAATAGTCCTTGTTACACACCATTTTAAATGGTTCCGACGGCAAATAATGCTCAGCACCCACTGGCTGCAACTACCCACTATAGGTGTTTAAGTAAGCAACAACACTATATTGTTTATCAACGTAGTTGGTTGGCCCTAAACCTGTATGTTGAAAGCACCTGATGGCATGTGAGCACGGCATATGGTAGATGGACCATTTCCCACAAGAGTATAACCTTCTAGATTCATTTATGGTATGTACATTATTCCCCCGGTTTTGATGGATAGCGGTGCGAACTTCAAAAACATTTCTGACGTGATCATACTGCAAAAATGAATGCCAATGTGCTCGCCGCCTGCATTTCTCAAATCTCTTCATCGGCAGTGGCATAAATTCAACACCCATTTCCATCAATGACGTTGCAGCTGCAGCCCTTTCAACAAACCTCTCTGCCATCTGCTTGAACGATATTCGCACCATGGCAGTAACAGGCAATCCTCTTGCCAATTTCAATAACCTGTTGAAAGACTCTGACACGTTTGTAGTCAGAATTCTCCATCTTCTTCCACCATCCGCATGCAAAGTCCACTTGTGAAGCTCATGTCGCATCAACCAATGATAGGCTCTCTCGTCTTCCTGCTTGATAGATTCCATGTGCCTCCGAAATTTATGCTCTTGGTGGTCTGTTGCTGCCATCCACATCAAATCATGCAGATCCGTGTTGGGATGTGCCTTCTGGAAATTGGACTTAAAGTGACTCACACAGTAGCGGTGGTAGGCATAAGGTTCTTGTCATGCAGGCAAGTTCTCTACAAAACTTAAGATACCACCATACCGATCAGATATTAGACAAATGCTGGAATGATGTTTGACAACATGCTCTTTCAAATGGTTCAAAAACAACGTCCACGTCTCTTGGCTTTCATTGGCACAAATAGCAAAAGCTAGAGGAAATATTTGTCCATTAGCATCTACTGCAACGGTTATCAACAGCTTGATATCATACTTTCCATAGACATAAGTGTCGTTTATGGATATTACCGGCCGTCAATGCGAAAAACCATCAATTGCTGGTTTAAATGCCCAGAACACGTAATTGAATATATATTCTGGTTTTCCCGGACTCCGCTCAAGCTTCCATTCAACAACTGTCCCGGGGTTAAAGTGTTGCAGTACGGCCATGTACTTGGGTAGAGTTACAAATGACTTATCCCAATTACCATAAGCAATTTCAAACGCACGTTTGTACCCGAGAAATGCCTTTCTTTTGGTAATGGTATGGCCATATTCCTGGTGGACTGATGTAATGCACTCTTTGATTTTATACCTTATGGACGCTTCAAGGTATGGAATAAGGACAAGAGAAATCAAGTCAATATCCAAGTTGTAGTGATTCCTATTGAATGTGTCCATTTCATATATGTGGGTGGGAATGTATTTACCCACTTGCCACAAACCTGTTTTCTTCTTGCTCGCACGCAGCATCCAATGACAACCTTGTATACCTCCGGAGTTGACTCTCATACCGTCATCTCACGACACTCTTTTACGTTGTGCATTTTCGCCGCCCTGCTTAGGCGCGCTTTATCGGGAAAAAGCATGCCCTTTGCCAGCACCGTTGGTCTAGAATCATCCCATATTGCTGTCTGAATTTCATCAAAATCCCTTGTGAGAGCATCCACATCCGGCATACTTGGCAAGTTATCAAGGTAGGGAATCTTCCTTGAATGAAACGGCACTTGGGACTCGTACACTCTTGGTCTAACGGGGGTTGGAGCATACTCCCTCGTCAAATCAGGTCCTTCATTCTCTTCCTCCTCGTCACCATCCTCACGAGGGAAGGGTGTGTCGTCTCCGGAATCATCGGCATTGTTGTCATAATCATTGTNCCCCTCCCCCAATATAATAAAACTCTTACTTTTCGCTCTTCAGACATTATGAAAAAATGCTTGAGAATTTAACAAGAAGAAAAATTTGAACGAGTTAGGAATATTTTTGAATGGATTTTTGTAAAATCCTAATGCCTTTAAATAACACAATGCCTAGTTCGGTGGGCTGAATTTTTTTAGGTATAGCGCTCTTTTAAAGAGCGCTATACCCATTTGAATTATTGTTATGTCAGTTAAACGCAGGAGACTTACTAGTGGGCCCACAAAGCAGGTATAGCGCGGTTTACATTGGCGTTATATATATATAACGCTCTTTTAAAGAGTGCTATACTTTAACGGCCAAAACTCCGTTAAAGTATAGCGCTCTTTAAAAGAGCGCTATATACAAAAATGTCACTCTTTTTTTACACACATTTCCGTCACACTTGTCCAAAAGAACCACAAATGGGTTCTGAACTTCATCCAAATATCAACACGGTTTTAGTCCGTCAGTACTGTAGAGAACTTTCATGGACATTAATTTGACTTTAGTTGTTTAAACTAATCCCAATGTCCAATAAGCTCTAAAATCTAGCACAAATAAAGTGTGTCCAGTGGTGCCTGGGCAGGAGTTGCAGTCTCCTGGAGAGTAGCAAGGAAGAGTTGACAGGGGGTGGGGTACATCAGTAGAATGGCAGCTGAGAGAGAAAGAAGGAAAAGAAGACAGTAAAGAAGGCTTATATAAGGATCTCTTTTCTTGGACCTCGATGGCAGCTGAGAGAGAGAGAAGGAAAAGAAGACAGTAAAGAAGGCTTATATAAGGATCTCTTTTCTTGGACCTCGATTAACAGATGCAATAGATCCTAATGCAGAGGATTAAAACATCAAGAGTAGGAAGAAAAAAAAAGGGTGGCGGTTGAAGGTGTAATGTGCCAAAGGGACAGAGGTTTAAGTAATTCAGTTGTGTTCAAGAAAGAATGCCAACTTTCTATACTGGAAACTCTTCAACTTTAAACTTCTCATTTACCCTTAATACATGCTCTTATGACCATAAAAATGTCATGGTATATTTAAAACCATATGTTCTGAAGGCACTTTGTATGTGCCAAAAGTCCTTTCTTTCTTAGACTCCGCGCCTGAAACAAAGGGAATACCTTCTTTTTGTTTAAATTCGATTGTCCATAACCTTTGATAAACAAATAAAGCAGAAAATGAGCACCTAATTGATAGTGAAAGTTGGAACAAATAACCAGCCAGAAAGAAGATCTGTACAAAGACAAATCTTCTTGAGCTTTGCTTATACAAAAGCATACCATATTTTCTTGCCTAATTACCACTTCAGATTTCTCTGCCATAAGAAAACATGCAAAGTTATATGTAGACCTGTTCTCAGTTTCTACTCATGATGATGCATTCCTTCTGCCAGAGTCATAGGCATAAAAAATAGGCCCTTATTCTCCAGCAGTTGAGTTGCCATTGAGGGATTCACTTCCAGCAACTTGCCCAATGTCTCTTCCAGAGGTTCAATCAGTTGTTCATCAAGAATGTAATGTCCACAACCCTGCATTACGTTCTCCAGAAATTAGTTTTTGTATGAAGAAAGAGTCCAAAAGTTTGATTAGTAATGTAATTGTTATATATTGGAATCATGAATGGTACCTCAACAAATAAAAATGGGATAGAAGAAGGTTCACCCCCCAATCTGCTCCAACTGAGATCCTGCACAGTCAGGATTGAGTTAATTACAGCATACTGTTAAGGAAATAAAAAACTACAACGATTCTTGATGACCTGAAAGATGATACAAAGTAAAGAAAAATAGAAGTAAAAAAGGTAGCTATTCAAACGTGATCGGTGATACAGCAAGATTGATAGCACCAACATTAACATGAAGATCAATCACCTTGGGGCACTGAAATAGGTCACCAGTTAAAACATTATCCAAATAATTGAACTACTGGTTTTAAGAATTATACTGACACAGTAAGCAACCATAGCTCCTGAAGAAATAACGTCTAAACTTACAAATATACTAAAACTACTCTAGAGAATGTACAACTATACAAGAAACCACACTTTATACAGGCTTATACATCTATGAGCGACAAGTATAGCATCAAACAGGAATCATTATTTTAAGTTTGCTTAAGAAAGGAAGCATGTTAGGAATTAGGAACCTTAATATGTTCAAAGCTAAATGAGAAGGATGATGATGGTGGAGTTTAAGGTCCATAGAATGCTCCGGAATGATCTTCCAAAGAGGATTTGGCTGGAAGATGAATATATATGCACAACAGTGTTCCAGTCGAAGGAAGTTATAGGCTAGCAGTATGTTTTCGGTTCCATACTAACTGGACAGGCACATTTTTTTTTTGCACAACAGTATTCCAGTTGAAGGGAAGTTACGGGCTAGCACTACGTCTTCGGTTCCATACTTACTGGACAGGCACAATTTTTGTTTTCTGGGAGTAGGTTAACAAATTGTCTGCTTTGCTCTAGCCTCCAAACGGCCTAGGTTGATTGTTGCTAGAGACAAGGCAATTCGTCCTTTTTTCAAATGGTTGAATAATTGAGCTAGACTTGCCATGCATCCGGTTTACCAGGTTAACTGGTTGTTGACTTGTTGCCTCCTTTCTAAGCTTGAGTTTGTAATGTCAAACAAAAAGAAGCTCTCTTAAACACATCATCAACAATAAAGTTCAGCAATATTGGTCTTAGTTCATTTTCTTTGGAAACAATTGAGAGATTCATGGTAATAGAAGGTTTCAAGCTCTTATAGCCAAAAGTTTCAAGTAATATAGCACTACATGGTATGGCTGTTTGGTGCTTAATTCACAATTTTGCCTGTGGCTCAATTAGTTAAAGTCCTAGTAGGTAGACAGACAGTATCAAAAGTCAAACAAACGACCAAAATTATTGTTGCACTAATATCTTCTAGTATAATTTGGTCTGAAAATGGGAAATACAGACGTATCAATAGAATAGTGTGGATCTTGAAAAGCAAAACAAGAACACTGGCCAAATGGGTCATATCCCCTGCTAACCTGAGTTTATTCATCTTTCTTTAGTTGAAGAAGATGAAGAAACAAAAGAAAAGCAAACAGAAAAAAGAAGAAGAATAAAAACAGAGAAGCAAAATTAACGATGAAGATGACGAACGAAGGGGAGGGGATAATCGGAAAAAGAAGCTTTTCCTTTTTTGGCTTAAAAGTCTTTTGCTTTTCTTTCTCAATTTTTTGTCACCTATTGATTAGTTTCTTTTCATGTCAGCCAAGAGTAAAAATCACACGCTCCTCTTCTAACAAAGACTGTGACTCAAGCACTTCAGTGAGTGTTGGAGTGTCTAATAGGTACAAGGGTTAGTTGAGGTGTCTAAATGGAATTTGGTGCCAATTTTAAGTGGCTGTCTTTCTATTTGGCCAAGAACTTTTCTGTTCTTAAAGCGATGAATCATCTGAATGCCTGAACATTTTCTAATTTTGCTTTTTAACAGCCATATTTTCCGGCCAAGATCCAGTTTTTCGACACCAAAACCAAATCATCTATATTATATTAAAAGCAAGAAGGCCCTTAGCGAAATGCCGTTCGTCTTTTTTACCCTTTAAAAATACAGTTCATACTGAACAAAATAGTCCTTTAGTTATTTCTCAAATATTTAGAAATAGTTATTTAATTAATTCCCTAATATTTAGGATTAGTCATTTAATTATTTTCCTACTTTTTAGAACTTTGATTTTTCAATTCCTTTGAGTTTTAGGAGTCCTTATTTTCAACTCCATTTAAATTTACGAGTACTAAATTTCAAGTATTTTCAATTTATATTAGGAAAGTTTCGACCACTTTATACTGTTTTCAGATTTAGGATTTTTTTTTTTTTTAATTAAAATTTCAAGTATCAAACTGGGTTTTTTGTTGTTGTTGTAAATAAAATTTTTGTCACTTTCAGCTCTATTTAGTTTTAGGTGTAGGATGAAAAATGTAACTATATTAAAACAGTAAAGGGCTTCATATCAACAAAAGGGTATAAAACTCAAGCTATATAATTTTGGTTTTGGCATTCTACAAAAATTATGTATTAAAATATAAATACACATTCTAAAAACACTATAATTAGATATAAATTATCTCAATATTTACAATTATTATAACCATTAACTCAACATCAAGTTCTAGAGATACCTTCAAAATGACACACTATGTTTGGATCATTGTTACCCATCGTTTAAATATATTGTATTGTACTGTATTGTATTGTATTGTATTGTATCGTATCGTTTTATGGATATAATATTTGAATAGATTGTATCATTTGCTGTTGTTAAATAATATTTTTGTTGTTTGGTTTGACTGTATCGTACTGTACTGTAACTGATAAGTTCACTAAAATACCTAAATTATTTTAAATAAAATTTATCAAGAATTACAAATTAAAATAATTTATGACAACCTCTTTCTACTAATTTATCATTAATTACGTAGCTTGGAAACAAGAGCAAAAACCTGGAAAAAAAAAGGTTAATTAATATTAGCAACAAAAAAAATTTAAAATAATACAAAAGTGTAACGACCCGACCGGTCGTTTTGAGAGTAATAGCCCCGATCCCCTATTTACTGCTTCTCCCATATCTATTCCTGCTATTGTGACTTGCCGGGAGGTTTCGTTTTGGTTTTTGGAGTGTTTTGGGACACTTAGTCCATAAATGGAGGTTTAAACCTTAGGATTTGGACCGTAGTCGGACCTGTGTGAAGACGACTCCGGAATGGAATTACGTCGGTTCCGTTAGCTCTGTTAGGTGATTTTGGGCTTAGGGGCGTGTCCGGATTGTGTTTTGGAGGTCTATAGCTCAAATAGGCTTGAAATGGCTAAAATAGGAATTTAAGTTTGGAAGTTTGACCGGGGAGTTGACTTTTTGATATCGGGGTCGGAATCCAATTCCGAAAATTTTCATAGCTCTGTTATGTCATTTATGACTTGTGTGCAAAATTTAAGGTCAATCGGACTTGATTTGATAGATTTCGGCATCGAATGTAGAAGTTGGAAATTCTTAAGTTTCATTAAGCTAGAATTGAGGTGTGAATTGTGATTTTAGCGTTGTTTGATGTGATTTGAGGTTTCAAATAAGTTCGTATGATGTTTTAGGACTTGTTGGTGTTTTTGGTTGAGGTCTCGAGGGCCATGATCGATGCCCAGTATCGATGGTCAGGATCGAGGGCCATGATCGAAGCCATGATCGAGGCTCGGGATCGAGGGCCATGATCTAAGGCCAGAATCCAGGGCCATGATCGACGCACATGATCGAAGGCTCGGGATCGAGGGTCATGATCGAAGGCCAGAATCGAGGGCCATGATCGGAGGCCAGGAACGAGGGCCAGGATCGAAGCCATGATCGATGCCCAGGATCGAAGGTCAGGATCGAGGGCCATGATCGAAGCCATGATAGAGGGCCATGATTGAAGTCTTGATCGAGGGCCAGGATCGAGGCAGGACCGAGGGCTGCCTGGACAGAATTATAAAACAGGGGACTTCGTCCTCTGTGCCATTTTTGACGAATTGGAGCTTGGGGAGGCGATTTTTTTTTCTGTTAGGTTAGCGCTTGCAGGTTCAATCTCTCTTACTAGTATAGAGAAAAGAAGTCTACCTTTCTCTATACTAGAGCATACGGGGAATCAAATCTAAAAACCAATATATGAACAAGAGAGCAGACGGGGTAATGTGAGATTTTCAGAGAAAACATTGGGGTAAGTGTTCTTAACTCAATTATGGTTAGATTACCTGAATCCATCATTTGTTTTCACCATTTAATTAGTGTTTTGAGATTGAAATTTGGGGATATTTTAGAAAATTCATAGAAACGAATTTTTGAGATTTCGGTGTCAATTCGGAGTCGGATTTGAGTGAAACTGGTATGGTTGGACTCGTAATTGAATGGGTTATCGGATTTTGTGAGTTTCGCCGGATTCCGAGACATGGGCCCCACGGGCGATTTTTGAGTTAATTTCGGATTTTTATTGAAAAATGTATTATTTTCTTATGAAATTGATTCCTATAATTTTTGTTGACAGTATCGAATTATTTTGGCTAGATTCGAGCCATTCAGAGTCGGATATTCGTGGAAAAGGCATTCTTACCGATTGATTGAGCTTGGTTCGAGGTAAGTGGCTTGCCTAACTTTGTGCGTGGGAACTCCCCGTAGGATTTGTACTGTTTTTGATATATGAGCGTTGTGTACGTGAGGTGACGAGTACGTACACGGGCTAATTGTGTAAAAATCCGATTTTTCTACCAAGTAATAACCTGATTTCCTTCTTATTTGAGTTCCATCAGCATGTGTGGTATCCGGCTAGACTAGAATAGCATGCCTACTTGTCTTAACTGTTTACTTGAACTGCGTGCAGCATGTTTAGTGAATTTACCTGTCTTTCCTTAACTGGTACTTAGGTTGAACTGTAAAATTTCGTGTCGTAACTATTGAATTCTATTGTTTGGCTGCATATTTACTTTGGGACTACGGAACGGTATTCCGGGAGATCCCCCTGTACTGCATATTTACTTAGGGACTACGGAACGGTATTCTGGGAGATCCCCTTGTACTGCATATTTACTTTGGAACTACGGAACGGTATTCCGGGAGATCCAGTGTTTAAAAAAACGTATGTTTTCTCGCTTTAAGCGAGAAGCGAGGCGAAGCGTGAAGGGCAGCGCTTCAGCAAGGTGAAGCGACTCAGGTCAGTAAAAGCGACCGCTTCTCTGTAAAAAGCGAGAAGCGAGGAAAGCGAAGTGAAGCGAAGAAGCGTCCGCTTCTCTGTTTTAAAATACCCAACCCTATTTTATTAAAAACGAGTTTTTTGGATTAAACACTGGTCTGGAACAACAGCGACTAGGGTTCTTCAACTTCCAACAGCAGCGACTTCTTCTTCATCTACTTCTGATTTCTGAAAGAATCTCAAAGCATCAACTAGGGTTGTTCTTCTACTTCTTCAACTTCAAGTTCAAGTTCAAAACTTCAACAGGTATGTTCTGAACTTCTGATTTTCATTCTTCTTCTTCTTTTTCTTCTTCTTTTTCTTTTTCTTTCTAAACGTCCAAAAAGCGGCGAAATGCTGGCGAATTTTTTCCAGAAAATTACTGCCAAATTTTTTCAGTTTTTAACAGAGAATTCCTCTAATTTTTTATATCCTTTATTCTTAGTTCTTATTGCCTTTCTTATGTGTTATGTAGTTGTTCTTTTAATGGCGCCAAAAGAAGATAGGAAAGACCCGGCTTGGGCTTACTCTGAAAGAGTTAGCGAGACCAACAAGATGGCCATTAGATGTCTTTTTTGTGATAAGATTTCAAATGGGGGAATCTATCGTCAAAAAGCGCATCTAATCGGTGGTGATCCAAATGTCGCATCTTGTCCTAAAGTTCCATCGCATGTAAAGAAAGAATTGAAAGCATTCCTTCAAAAAAAAAAAAGAGTTAAAGACTCAAATGATTCATGAACAAGAACTATATAATCTTGATGATGACGATGATGAAATAGAAGAAGGTGACGATGCTTCCTCGCTTCCACCAAAATCACAAAAGCGGGGAAGGATGCAAACAATGTCTTCTAGTTGAAGCATCTCATTGATCTAGTTTTCATTAAGTACAATAGAACATTGAGGCGTCGTTACAATGCTCGCAATGTAATTGATCCCATTAGTTTGGTCAACATCGATGATGCTAATGAATGGCTAACTGGAGTCCCGGAAGATCATGCAGATGAAGAAGTATTTGAGGATACTTCTGATTTCACTTGGGGTGATGTTGCGGAAGCGCGTGGAATTGGGGAGAGGATTTATGGTTTGAGGGGGAGTACCTCAACTTCAAGTAACTTCAAGTTCACAGAGGAAGGGAAAAGAGGCAGCTACTTTGTCCCTAGTTGATGAAGAAGAAGAAGTTGAAGAAGATGACGAGCAATATAATAATGATAGTGGATTACAAGAATTTGACAATCTTGTAGAAGAATAGGATGCTCATTTTGTGCTTGAATTGATGCTACTCTTTAGTTTTTTAATTGAAGTATTGAACATTTGCTTACAATTACATGTATTGTCTATGCAGTATTTTTTTTTATTTTTATTTTTTTAAATTCCGCTTCACTTCAAAAAAGCGAGCGCTTCGCTTCTCGCTTCTCGTGAAATGGGGGTTGTCGCTTTTCCTCGCTTCACGCTCTTCACAACACTGGGGAGATCCCCCTGTACTGCATATTTACTTTGGGACTACGGAACGGTATTCCGGGAGATTCCCTGTACTGCATATTTACTTTGGGACTACGGAACAGTATTCCGGGAGATCCCTTTGTTCTGCACATTTACGTTGGGACTACGAGACGGTATCTCGGGAAATCCCCTATTGTTATCTCTGTGTACTGAGTTGTTGTCTTCTATGATTTCACTCTTGTTAAATTTCAGTCTTTATTTTACTGCGGTATTTCATTCTATCTTGTGTTATTATATATATATACCAGTAGGGTCCTGACCTGACCTCGTCACTACTCGACCGAGGTTAGGCTTGGCACTTACTAGGTACCGATTGTGGTGTACTCATGCTACTCTTCAGATACTCCTTATCAGCCGCACTATCAGTGAGCCAGGACAGCTTTGGAGACTTCAAGGTATATCTATCGCGTCCGCAGACCTCGGAGTCCCCTTCTACTCTTCTCCATGTCCATTATCTTCTGTATTTTCTTTTGATAGACTCTGATGTATAGAAACACTAGATTTTCTTCCTGTAGTTTGTGATTCACGAATGTTCCGGGCTTTGGGAATGCTGTGTAGTACATGGAGGAGTTGGTTATTGTACATGCCAGGTGGCATGGTACTCAGTTATAGTGTTATTGCTACAGTTAGTTGTTAAATTTATGTTTTCATTTCATTTATTCCGCAAAATGTTAGGCTTACCTAGTCATAGAGACTAGGTGTCACCACGACGTCATACAGAGGGGAAATTGGGTCGTAACAAAAAGAGATAAAGAATCGAACAGAGAATTGGATAAAAAGAACGGGGCAAACTAACTCTAGAAAAGATGGAAGAAGACAAAGTAGGTCAATAAGTTGGAGATTTGGAATTAAAATTAAAAAAAATTAAATGATAAAATAAAATTATAGAGTAATAAGTAAGGCATAATTGGAAAATAAAATAGGAAACGATCTCACCACACCAAGTAGGTTGTTTCATAAAATGGGGCTTTTGGTTGTCCCGGAACAATGGATTTAACAATACGATACAATCAATTTTAAATAAACAATCAAAACAAACATTATTTTGGGATAACAATACAATACGATACAATGGGTAACAACCATCCAAACAAGTTGTTAACAATTGCACGTCAATTATACGTATCATATTTATATAATTTTTAAAAGTTTATACTTATTGATACGGGTTACACGCGCAAAGCGCGTACCCTAAGACTAGTAACTATAATAATGCCTAAACAAATGAAGGAAAACAGCGATAAAAATCGATGCCGATGACTCCTCCGATTCCTCCTGTAACAAAACCTATCGCCTTTCTAGGAGTCTCAACTTGCTTTCCCAAGAAACTTTTTGTCCCAAAATCAAAAACCATACTCCTTGAAGACGAGGAAATTGAAGAAAATAACACTTGATTTGAAATGGGTTGTGGTCGAATTCTTATTAAACTTGGGTCAATTAACAATTTTCATCTGGTGCACTTAATAAGCATTTGGCATTACGCTAGACTTAGCCAGAAATAGTCCAACATTTTTGCTCTGAGTTCTTGCCATTTGAGTTTGGACTACAACCATGTGAAGGTGCTGGCAGAGAAGAGTGGGCGGTGACTGTAACAAATTCAAAGGAGAAGGGGTTGTGGATGGTGGCGAAGGAGGATGCCCATATGGAGCAGGTGTTGATGAAATTTTTTTGGTGAGGGTGGAGTGAGGTCGAAGCAAGGGAGGCTAGTGGTGGCGGAGAGACTGAGGCCGTTAGCAATTTCAAGATTTTTTTTTGATTGTGTGTAATTTTTAAGTTGTACAGTTTTGTAGTTTTTGTGGAGAAAAAAACTATCAAAAGGATTTAAAAAGAAAATTGATGAGAATCTTGAAAGTGTGAAGATGACTGATTCACATGACAAAGGAGGTGAAGAAGAAGGATTAAAAAAAAAAAAAAAAAAAAAAAAAAAAAAAAAAATTACGTTTCAATTATTCACTCATGCGCTGGACTTGAAGTGAAACTCACTCTTTGTGGCATGTTTGCATAAAGGGCTCAATAGGTACACTTCAGTGACTGTTGGAGTGTCCACAATGTACGCCGGTAAACTTATCTCAGTGAAGGACATCAAATAAGAACATATATGTACCTTTATCTGGAACTGCAGATTTTTGATGTGGTCGATAACTTCATCCATTAGAGATGCTCTTCCACCCTGCAAAAACACAAAATTTATCAATTTTTAAATTCATTGTAGCAATCATGTCATTCCTTTTTTGGTCTCTTGGTTTATAAGAAAGGAGCAAATTGGCATGAAATCAGAACATAAAAGTACTGCGTCACCCATTCCTTAGGGTGCAGAAGACTCTATAACGCACAGATGATTCCAGTTACTAATTTTTTGTATTCTCCTACTTTCTGCATTCCAGCTTCAAGTGCACAGCTTTTAAAAGATCTGAATATCCTGCATTTTGAATAGCTATGCAATATACAATATACAATAAAGATCAAGTGCCAATAAGGATGTGTTACCTTTTTAGAGCATGGAAATAATTCTCCCAATGCGTCTATTCTTTCAGCAATTCTCATCTTGCGACGCTGAATACAAAACCAGCTATGATTAGGTATCAGCTAAATGATATTACAATGTGATTACCGTGAAGCTTAAGCTTCACCAAAATTATGACAATCTCGTGAACGCAGCGGTGGAGCAGAAAATTTTCTTGGGGCGCAGAGTCTGGAATTATCAGCTGTACAAACTTAGGTAGTCATATTACATTCTGATCATATATTCTGTATGCTAAGAATATATTTAACATACTGTTGAAAAAAACATATTTAGACATTTACAATGTAGGGGAATTACTTTGACCTCTCCTTTAGTACTGCTAAATATGCGGACTTTCCTTCTAGTTTGAGAAATGCCAAAGACTTCTTCTCGACTTTGGTGTTTCATTACCAAGACCGCCCTTTCCATTAACGTCCATTAGTAAGACCGTTTAACAGCTATATCAGCACAAACATCAGGTATGTAATACTTTTACCTTGGCAAAGATTTACTTCACACCATTCTCGCAACCACCAAGCTCCGCCTTCACAAACCCTCCCCTGCCTAGCTGGGCCAGCCTTCTCCACCCCCTCCCTTCCCCTATCCATACCCATCACCTAACCCCCTCATCACACTGCTCCCCTCCCTTGTTGTCCCCTACACAATACACATATTGTGTTACACATAATTACTCTACTGTGTTACACGTGTAACATAGCAGGATGATAGCTTCAAAATTGCCACTGCTGGCTTATGCTGTTTGTCAGTAGACGTCAAATTAACTCACCCAAAATCTTAAAAAAATAAAGAATCAATGAGAGAGTATCTAAATTTCCAAGTAAAGACCCTGTAGTACAAAGTGGGATACAATTTTTGACAAATAAATATTCCATAAACAAATGCTGAAGCTCAATATTGTATTACCCCTGCCATACAAAGTACTAACTGTCAATTACAGCTCATGATGACTAATTTGTCTGATTTACTAATGGAAAGATCCTTAGAAAATTTGCACCAACTATTACAAACCCTAGAGGACACATCTTGATATACAATTCTTGATGACCTGATAATCATGAAAATTTACAAATAACAAAGATTTACATTTAATAACAAAGAATCAGTAATGTTTGTACTAGTCTTTAAAGGTGGTTGGATAGGCACAGTTAGTATATAAAAGCTGCAAGAAAATAATCAATCCCCGATCAGACAATGCATACAACAAGAGAGGATTGAAGGATTTAGGCTTACTCGATCAGACAATGCAGCCCTTGCTTTTCTAGAACTTTTGGAAAGATACGATGATCCAGCAGCTAATGCTTCAGAGCAAGGTCCAGAAGCAAGCCTGGCATCTCCTGCTGGCTCCCATGTCTGCCGTCCAAAGATCCAAGGTTTTATGTCATGAAATAGTCACAGTTCTTCTTCTTTTTTCCAACTTTGAAGTACACATTGAAAATAATCTCAACATTACCAAGGCACCAACTTGACTTTCTGAGCCAATTAAAAAGTCGAGTGGAACCCCTTCAAAGTAAGGACTCGGATATCTTATCTGCTGAAAACAGGAGTTAAAATTCCAACTCTCTCATTAGAGATGAATTTAAACAGTTACCACAGTGATGCAAGGAATCTTGACTTGATAACAGAAAATAGCTCCCCAAACTCATATCTGGTAAACAGTTGACTGTCAGTTTTATTGGCTATGCATCCAGATAAATGGACATACCTCCTGAGAAATTATGTCAGCAGAGCTGTCGACTACTCTGAAACCAGAAGCTTCTGCGGAAGCATCCACTTGAACCTCGGAGACCACATTCTCTGCAAGATATTCAACGTAATTTTGTGGTGTTTGCTGGTCATGGATCCACTGAGGTGAAGGCACAGAAACATAATGCATCCCATCAATTCCAACCCCTGCCATGTACTGCTTGTTAAGTTCATGCCCCGCTAGATAATAAGAATCATTTGTACCTCCAAGAAATGCCCATTGTGTTTCTAGGGCATTTGGCTGACTCTGCTCTCCCATGATACCAAAGATCAGACTGCTAAACGCAAAGCAAAACAGAGATTGTTAAATTGGAAAAGCATAATCTTCCCGATAAACATTAAGTCAAAGTTGCATATTAAAGAGGGCAGTAAGATCTCACAATGATATGAGAAAGGTACATAGTACTTCACCTAGTGGCGGATCCAGGATTTGAACTTTATGGATTCGAGTTCGAAATTCTATAGCAATCCACTTGATTTACTGGGTTCGAAATCAATTATTTGTACTTAGTTTAGTGAATTTTTAACTCATATACAGGGTCCGAGCAAAAGCTACTGGGTTCGGATGAATCTATATCTTACTCTCTACATCATCCCTCAACTTCAACTAGAATAGACATTCATTTTCAAATGAAGAGCCACATTTAAGCAAAGCTCCAATTCAATCAACAAAAGACAGGACTTTAAAGACATGAGCTTAAACTTTTGCATTTCCTTTTCTTCCATAGAGTTTAAGAAATGGGCAACAGAACAAATGCTCAACATTGAAATCCTAAAATCATAATTTAATACTAACAAACTGGCATGATCATTGCAAATACAACACAATAGCTTTTGGATGGTTAAATTTAGCTATCCAAATTGTTAATCCCTTTATTTTCCTACTAACTGAGAAATCTTCGAGGGTTAGTAACTCACGGTATGAGAATCAATGGATTATGGGACCCACTTCTTACCCATCTCCACTTAAATATCATACTTTCATCGCGAAAGGGCTCGATCGCATGATGTGCATCTAATCCACACATCACTCATTGCGCTCTTACCACTAGACGAAAGCCCCAGGCTGTGGGCTAATCCTTCTCCTTTTTTAATTTATTTTGTTCCCTCCCCGGGGGCCAATAGTTGTTTTTGCAACTTCCCACGCTTGTCAACTCGTCTCAACCTCTTGGTGGGAAGAGGAGTGTTATTCCACTTAAGATACAGAGTAATTAAATATACCTCTTATAAACAAAACAAATTACATTTCCAATTTTCATTTTTCAGCTCGAAATGCGCCTTTCAACAGTGTACAACCTCTTAGTAAACACAAAATTCAAACAAAGAAAAAAATTAGAGCATAAAAATGGTGTCGAATCTGCAAATACAAAATAGAGGGCCTAGATGTAGACAACTAATTTATTTTAGACTAGTTTCAGTGTTAAGTCCACTTATGTATGAGCATTGACAAGAAAAACACCAAACGAATCAATATGCATAAAACCAGATAAGCGTGATCGATGACATGAAAAAAAAAAAAAATTATAAAATTAAAATGAGTTTCACGTAAAAGAAAATCACCAACTAAATCGAAGAGTTTGAAGAAAAGTTGTACCTGAATTTTCGTATAGAGATGCTGAATGGTGAAAAGATAATGGAGTATGTATGAAATAGAAGTCAGAAGAGGCAAACAGAAGATTCTACATTAGGGTTCTTTGGGCTGTTAGCTAACATGCGCTCTATTTTAACTGGTACATACACATCCATGTAGCTACCAGAGTGTCAGTCTGCCCACTATCGCCTGGCAAAAGTAGTAAATTAACTGTTTTTCTTGAAAAAATAAAATGAAAGAAAGAAAGCTAGAAAGTGAGAGAAGGGAAAAATTTGCAAGACTGATAGTTTTGTATCATTCTTTTTTATAAATTTTAAAAAAGAACTATGCATTTTTATATCAAAAACTCTTTAACGTTTCTTTTTTGAAGGCAAAACTCTTTAACCTTTAAATTTACATTTTATCGTTCATGATATACTTTTTATAGTCATAAAAATATCAAATCATGTTTAAAATCATAAGTTTTAAGGATTCTTTGGTATATGTCAAAAGTATTATTTTTTTTTGTTAATTAAATATCGTCATACAAAATAAAACTAATAAAATAGTAATTGAGGAGAACTATCGGAGTTTTAGAAAAATTTCATGACTATGTCATTTTGTTATAAAAGGGTACAAGTCATTCAAAACGTGAACGAGTGTTTATTTTATAACTCCAATTGGAGTTTACATGTGAATAAAACTAAATTAAATAGCAGCATGCGTCTTTATTTAGAAAATGATAAAAAATAATAATAATAATAATAATAATAATAAAGGTAAATTAGTAAAGTATAATAGCTTGTGATACATCGTCTATCTCACTTTTGAGTAATGCCATTACCATTTTGCAGTTTTTTTATATAAAAAAAAATATATAGTTTGAGAATAAAGTTTAGAGACAAACATCTATATTGAGCCTCCCAGTTCGAGGATCACGAGAGCATAGCCCAAATGCATAATAGTAACGTCCTCAATGTATGAACACTACAAGACAAGTATGTCGTATTTTGCGTCTAAGTATACGGACAGTCTTATAAATATCAGAACTATACGTACAGTCTCATCAATATTAGTAGATAATCCATAATAGGTAAGAAAAAAAGTATATGAGTATTTCTTCTTGTGAAAATAAATACTATCATGCACAATCACACAAGAATCTTCCGTTCAAAAAATAGTAAAAAAATAAAAATATTACTACAATATTATTTGTGAAGAGATAGATAAATTGGCTTGAGTTATGCAAGACACTATTTTAAGAAATAATTTAGCAATGTAAAATATTTTCCACGAACTAAATATGTTGGTCTCTATTTTAGAGGATACAAAAATAACAAAATAATCCAGCTAGTTAGTAAGGGAGATTAAGAAAAAAGTAGAATAAATATTTGTCGAAGAAGAACAATGATTATGTTATATTTTAAATGGTTAGCTAATAAAACTAATTATAGCCAAGAAATAGTAACTAATAATTGCTAAGTAGAAAGTTTTGGATGTAATTGGTTGATAAGAATAGCTAAATATTTAAGTATTTATAGATGTACAGATTGGTTAGAAAAATGACAAGCATTCATCTACTTGTAAGAAATTTTTAATGCAAACAGACACAGTTGACCATAAAAATGAGAGAAACAAGCTACATAGCCAATTCTTGCATGAATGCCATATAATCATTAGCCAATTTTTTTTAATACAAAATTGCCAACATCCAAAGTGAGAGGATCGTATTGCATTTCCAAATGAACACCAGAGCAATTCACTAAAACAAAAGGAGAGGCATACTTATCTGGAACATGGTAAAAATAATAGGATAACCCCAAAGCCGACCAATTCAAGTACGAAGCAATAAAAAGGTGAACAAGGCAGGAACATGAGTTACATGTAAACTTGTCAAACGGGCTGGGTGGACGGTTCCGTACCGGCCCTGATCGATTTTCCGATCGGACCAGACCGCAGCCCGG